CACCTCATCCTCCGAACTTGTCCTCGCCCCCTTTAGTCTTTTCCCCTGCCTCAAATTATACCACCACTGATCCAATTGCTGCAGCGCACACACGAACTCTCCGTCCTCCAAACGTGCCAGTTCATCTCCAATGCGAGCAAAGGCTTGCTGAGCTTGCCTGTACTTCTGTGGCTCGCTAAGTCCAGCGTTCCGTGGTGTTGCGTCGCGTTTGGACTTGAATATTTTGGCTACAAAGGGATCGGATAGCTCAGACAACTCGTCGGGTGAACACCGGCTTTGGCCAAACCATCTATCCACCACAAGAAGAGACATTTGTTAGAAACCTGGAAAATACCTGGTCAATACCTGGGCTTACCTGGACTCGATGGCAGCATAAGAGATGATGAATGGATTGCCACACGCCTTTCTGAAAGCCATGACGTGGCGACACGGCAACTTCATCGTCTGTGAGAACTCGCAGTCGCACGTCCGTCCGTCTTTCTCACTCAGGAACTCGTGGTTATCACGTGTCACAGTAACAGTAGAACCGTTATCTTTGTAAGCGTAAGCGCTAGCGAGGTTGTCATTCACTGCAACATCGTATTGCGTCTTGATAGCTTGTGCAACCCAGTGTGTCGTCATACCTAAGGCGATGTTCATTTCCTCTGTGTAAGCCACATCTCTCAATGTCCCTGGCATCGACACTTTGGATCTGTAGTCCTCCTCCAAACGCTTCTGGTAAGCGAAAAGTGCCTCCAAACTGGTCCGCATTGTCAGCTTTCCCTTGAGTGTTCGCTTCAGTTTACCAAACAGACTCTCCACGCAATTGTTCGTGTGGTTGTTGAAGTGAGGCAGATCAGCTCGGTGAGCCATCACCCACATCTCTGTGAGAGAATCCCAGTTTTTCTTGAAGTAAGTCCACAGTTGGGTCCGCCCACCACGACATGCCAAATGCTCGAACTCTCCTCTGTACTTCTCGTAGTCAGCTACGGTTCTTGCGTAGGTCATGTTAGTGATATTGTGCCTCATTTGCACCAGGACTTCTTCCTCATAGACTCCGAACTTTCTTGAATTCCGGATAGTATTGTGCAGCCATTTTATCACGTGGAAATGACACAGGAGAATCCGAGCCTCAGGCAACTTCTGTCGGATCACATCGATCTCTTTCATGTCTTTGTCGACGATTACAATGCGAACAGACTTCCACCGCTCGTTAGCACGTTTGAAGTGATCCAAGGCCTTGGCCATGTTCCAGTCCGAATTAGTCTCGAGCAGTGAGTATTGAATAGGTTGGCCTTGACCGTACTGATCCATTGCAACCATGCTCAGTAACTGATAGTTATATCTGCAAAACAAAATGTGTTAATATCTGTGTAATACCTGGATTATATCTGGGCAAATTCGACGTCCGATCCAGCAATTGGATACGTACTGGTTGGTTTTATGAGTACAATCAAGTTGGATCACTTCTGGAAAACTGTTCAACATCGCACGCATGTGTCCACTTGTGAACGAGATAACGCCGGTATCACCGCGAGCATTCTCATTGACAGTCGACACGTTCTTTGACGACTCCAGATTAAACTCCACAATCATCTCAGACACCGCATCATTGTCAGAAAGTTCCACACCTGGTGCACACAATCGTGCGTTGTTAGATTTGGTACAGCATCAACCTCCCGTTAACTTGCCTTTACTCCGCAACCGCGAAATCATGCTGCGGACGTCGTCCATGGTCACGCGGTGATTTGAGTTGCTGCGAATGTAGTCGTAGACGCTTGATGTCCCAGCCTGAGCCTCGACCAGCAACTCAACCCCAGGCATGAGCGGCGAGTCAGCAGAAACCTGCCGAATACCTGGATAAAACCTGTAGATATCCTCGGAAACGAAGTGGTTGTGCTCGTAGACCTCACGTTTAATCGAAACGCACCAGGATCCATCCGTCTTCTTCGCCAATTGGGCTAGCATCTGGAACGGGCAATCCGTGCGGCGTAATGCATGCGATGTCCGCTTTCCAGTTGAACGTTCTCGCTCAGACCACCCGTGTGTGCAGATGTACTTGCGTTGGTACGGCTCTAGTTCGGCCGGGACGAGTGGAATATCAGAGTCTGGACGCCCTTTGAACCGTACTTGAGACCGAAGAGCAGCGTTGCGCCGTGCAGTATGAATAACCTCCTTGATCACTATCTTCTGGTGCGTTGTGTTCATATACTCTCGCAAGCTAAACTCCAGGCTTGCCCAGGAGTCGTGTTCCTTCTTGAAAGCAGGAACTCTCACTAACTCCTCGTCTTCCACGTCCGAAAGAGTTCTTTTCTTTCCTTTAGTATCTCGACTGGTGGGAGGCTTCTCCTCAAGTTCTCCTTCTTCTTCTTCATTTTCTTCTTTATCTTCATCATCTTCTATTTCTGATTCTTCTTCTTCTTGGACTTCATCTTCTGATTCTTCACCGGCGGATTCTTCGCCGTCGGGCTCTTTGTCTACCACTAGGGCATTAGCCCCTGAAGTACTAGAGTCCGTCGACCCTACGTTCTGACGCTCGCACGCACGGACAAGCGCACCAGCTTTCTCAGAGCGCGTTCTCGCACTGTCGAGGTCCGCGATTCGAGCCTCCTCACGACGACGTGCTTCCTCTTCTTCGATGCGAGCCTTCTCCGCCATTTGGGCCTTGATCTGGGCAGTCTTGTGCGTCCGTGCCATGGCGAGGGGGAGGGGGCGAGCGCGCGCTGGGCCTGGAAGCTGCCGCGTGGCAATGTGTGGCTGTCGTGCCAAATGAAAATTTCGGAAATATACATTTAATTCGGTACCTGGACAAAACCTGCTTCGAAACCTGAAAAATACCTGCTCATGGAAACCTGGACGCGTAGCTTGCCGAAAAAGTTTTACACTTTTTATAACTTTTCTTTAAAAAAAGGTTTTGGTAATGCTATTTTTAAGAAGCATTTTTAAAAAACATTAATAAAATATAAAATTAAAAGTATCTTGAAAAAATCACAAAAACTATTTTTATGCAATTTAAAATAAATTCCAATTTGAAATTGGGAGTGTTTCTCCCTTTCACTGTCAAAACATGGGCCAGCGCGAGTTCGAGCAGAAGCTGGCGACGGCCGAGCGCAGTGGCGCTCGCGACAAGTGCGTGGAGCTGCTTCACTACGTGCGCAAGGAGAAGCTGCGTGAGCCGCGAGCCGTTGCGAGCATCGGGAAGCTGCTGGTGACGAAGCACAGCTGGGGTCTCGGCGACGAATGTGAGTACGAGTTGAAATGTTGGATATGTGCTGGATTCTTACGCTAAAATTGTTTTTACACCGCTAGTGTGGGGTGTGTATGAACAAACATTTGTCGCTGCTCTGGATCTGCATGACGACGAGCTGGCAGAGGTGAATTCAATTAATATCGGAGCCCAAGTTTCATCCTACTAACCTAATGTTTCGGCGTTTTTACAGACGTGTTTGAAAGCGCTACAGACCAAATTCCCGGGTAGTTCCCGCGTGGCCCGGCTCGAGGGTATGCAGCTAGAGCAGCGCGGGGAGTTCGCTAAGGCCCTGGTACTTTATGCCGAGCTGTTGGAGGCCAACCCAGCCAATGCACTGGTGCTCAAGCGCAAGATCGCGGTGCTCAAGGCGCAAAAGAAGACAGCGGAGGTGGTCACGGCACTCAACGAGTTCCTAAAGAGCTTTGGCACGGACCAGGCAGCGGTACGTTGATTTATTGCATGCTGGTCCAGTAAAGTTGTTTTAACATACTTTATTGTGTTTTTACTTGCTGTTAGTGGACGGAACTGGGTGAGACGTACCTGTCGATGGGTGCGTATCGCTACGCAGCCTTCTGCTACGAGGAGTTGGTGCTGCTAAACCCCATGGACGCCATCTCACACAGCCGTCTGGCCGACATTTACTCGACTATCGGCGGTCTGGACAACCTGCTGACGGCTCGCAAGCACTACGCGCACTCGATCGAGCTCAACAAGAAGCAGAACTTGCGCGCATACTTTTCGCTCGTGACGTGTACTAAGGCCATCGCTGCCCAACGTGGCTACCGCGCCGACCAGGACGACGACGGAATCAACGAGCGGCTGCAGAAGTTTGCACTCGACCACATCCAGGACTTTTACACGGCACACTCCTCTCCTGACCTTGCTGAGATCGCGCTAACAGCGGTCACCGCCCTCTAGACGGTTGGTAAAGCGGTCAAGCTGACGTGTCTAGGCTCCCTGCTCTGAATGAATGATCGTATCTTCTATTGATTGTCGCGTTTCGTTTCTAGTCCAGTGTACGTGCTGCTCCGTACGCTACAGCGAGATCGGGATCAATATCGGAGAGTGGTGGGCGACCTTGGAACATGTCAGTGAGGCGTTGACGCACCCACGGGATTCGTGAGGATCCTCCTACCAGCACCACGGCGTCGATTTCGTCGGTGTCCATGTTGTTAGATTCCAGAACATCACGCACTGGGATCATCGTCCGCTCCAGCAACGAGTCACAGAGCTCCTCAAACTGCGCTCGAGTGACTGTCACTTCAACTCGTACCGGTTTCTTGTTGCCACTCGAGATACAAGCAGCAGTAGTGACGGAGACATCAGTTAGCTGCCTCTTAACCAGCTCGGCAGCTTGACGAACACCAGCCATGGTGCATGGCGGTTCGTTGCTGCCATTCTCACTGACTTTCCCCTCGGATTCGCTCCCACGAGACGTGATAGCCGCTCCAAGTTGAGCTTCAAACTGTTTCAAGAGCCAAGCGGACAGCCGTGCGTCCAGATCTTCGCCTCCAAGATGGTTATCTCCCAGAGTGTCTAACACACTGATGGCTCCATTGCGAGCGAAGAGTAGCGATACGTCTAGTGTGCCTCCTCCGAAGTCGAAGACCAGCAAGAAACTCACACTTGGATCCTGGTGCAGACCGTAGGCGATCGCAGCGGCGGTCGGTTCTTCCAGCACGCGAGAGACCTCCAGTCCTGCTGCTCGAAATGCCGCCACTGTGGCGTCTCGTTGCCTCGCGTTAAAGTCCACAGGCACTGCAATGACTGCCTTGGTGATCTGGTCGTGGCCGACAAAATTGTGCGCCATCGAACGGAGATGCCGCACAACTGCAGTGCCAATCTCGACTGGAGTCACGCATCCGGGTTGGCCTGATAGATCCAGTGTGAAACATACGCCATCATGCTTGTTGTCTTGCAGCATTTTTACACCGAACTCGTATGGTGTAACTCCATTCTCGTCAGCCTCTGATGCTAGAACGTCTCCGTAGCTGTTGACAAAAAGTGCATCAGCTTCCGTTTTTATATATATATACAAATTTATTGGAACAAACCTCTGGCCGATGAATCTCTTGGCATTGAAAACTGTATGCTGCGGGTCCAATGTGCGGTGTGCTCGTGCCTCGCGACCTACTAACACACCTGGTTTCCATACCACATTGGTGTCAGCTGCGTAGTAGTTTACCAGTAAGCACAACACTGATATGAACCTCCATGAGGTAGGAAGGCTACCGTGGACGGCACCAATACATAGCCCTCTTTGTCTTTGATTGCAGTCACGTTATTCTTCTGCGAAATGGCCACCACCGAGTACGTCGTGCCTAAGTCGATGCCCACCACTGTGTTCAAGCACTCGGTTAGTCTAGCTTTCAGCTGTGGTTCTGTAAATCAAGTACCATGGTCTCGGCCTGTGAATCCGTGGCGAGCGAGCAACGCGGCGAATACTGCGAAGACTCCGCTAAGCAGCAGCAACAAGGAGCCTACGTTCACGCCTCCGAGGACTGAGTTCTGGGGGCGACGGACAGCGCTACTAGACGCAACCATTAACTCTGATTGTCTGCCACGTCAGAGCAGATAATTTCGGACTTGTTTTCGGATTCGAAATTTACGAGCATAGATAGGACATTGTCTCATACGGTGCAAAAT